CCCATGATCACACATACAATATAATAATACGAATACACCCCTCATATTGAATAATTGTTTGAAAATTATTTCACTTTTAACAAAGCATAAATATAATAAGGAGTTCACTGATGGAACAAAAAGTTGTTATAGAAACTTCCGCAATAGTTTCCCACAAAACTCACTCACACGACAATAAACTGCTATACACAGAGCCCACTCACAAACACACAAAAACTTCTCTGTCCATGACCACATTCTCAGAGTCAAAGAAAGACAAAAATCACCAACCGAGCTAACTGAGCACCCCAACAAGGTTAAGAGCCGCTGGCCTAAACAGTAAGAGGCAGGCTGCTCCATGGTCGTCTGTCACTTGCGGCCTGGCAAACTCACAACTGTGAGGGATTCATCACAGCACAAAGATGGAGGAGGTACTAAATAACAAAACTATATTATTCTCCACATGAGACTCGAACTCAGGCCTTTAGTGTTCCGAGAGAAAGAGTCTAGCCATGTATCACAGATGCTGGTGAGGACGTATGCTTACCGGGAAGCTGAAAATGTTTTCTGAGTGTTCTAGACGTGTCTGAATGAAGGTAGTTGTAAAGCTCATAGAGCATGCTGTTGGGCACGGATACACACTATCCCCTATATAAATGAAACAATTATCATAAGATTATTACTTTTAATATTATTATCATTATTATTACCTTTACATAATATTATCATCTCATTAAAATCATGACAGGACATTCTGAGATCAGACAACAGCAAAATCGCGAGATACATACTGCACCACTTGAAAGAGTTTTAGATTGTTAATGGGTTTTTTCACCCAGATCAATACAGTTTAGATCATTCAGCAGGCTGGCTTCCCACTTTGCCTGTCAGGGTTAACCCGAGGTGAGAGGGATACAACATCCCAGAAAAAAAACCTAAAATTTACAATAAAAATTTCTCACCACTTGGGAATCAAACTTGGGACGCTGTTTTCAATCTATGTACGAGTCCAGCACAAAATTGATTCCCCCTAACACAGTTCATGCACAAGACTGTCTCTCAAGAGGGAGGTAAGGCAGGTTGCTCAGGCTTTGTTCCCACATTATTTACTTCCTTCTTTGGTGGTAGTTTAGCTTTAGTAAGAGTTTTACGGCACTCACAACTCAAATAGTGTCATAAAAGTGACGAAGATTACAGGTGTAATTAGAGAGTAACGTACAAAGAAAAGAAGGAGGAGAAAATGATAGATATTTTATAAGAAAGAAGGAGTAAACGACATCAGAGCACTCTTTGGTAGTAATCAGAATTTGCCGGTTCTTGGAACTACAATGTTTTACGGATCCTTGAGTTGAATGAAAAAAGAAAGGGGGGGAAAGAGAGAGAGAGAGAGAGAGAGAGAGAGAGAGAGAGAGAGAGAGAGAGAGAGAGGGGGGGGGGGGGGGGGGGGGGCGGAGGGGGGAGCTTCAGGTCTTGTAGATAATTTTTCAAAGTATATATACTTAAATAAAGAGGTATATAAATGATGCATGTGCATTCCATGATGTTCAAACTCTCCCAACCCTTAAAACACACAAATATGCACAAAAGATTATGTGCACCCACGCATGCACACACACACACAGGCACACATACAAATAAATATGGAATTTTCCTTCCCAGAGTGCCATAACATATCAAGGCAAAAGAAATATTCTCATTCCAATAGAAGACATTTGCAAGATAGAAAAGTAAAAAGCACTTGATATATTTACAAGAATTAGAAAGAAAAAAAATCCATTCCAAGAGTCACTGATGGAGAACCCATGAGCAATAAACCCTCAGCACAGCAATCGCAGGTGAAAAAAACAAACAAACAGTGGCCTTTTCTAAAACTAAAATCTGCCAGACCACCGGATTTTTTTTGGTTTAGGGGGGGGTTTATATGGTTTCTACTTTCTTTCAGTTTACCGGTCTTCAGATCGGATTGACTGCAAATAGCTAAGGTGGATTGCACAGTGTGTCTGCTTTTAGGGTGGTATGACAAGGAGTGACATTCGTGAGAAGCTAAATTGTAACCTATAGTCATGCCACCTTAGATTGTTATTCAGAACACAGTACACTGAACCTATCAGAACACAGTACACTGAATGAACGTATCAGGACACAGTGCACTGAATGTATCAGAACACAGTACACTGAACCTATCAGAACACAGTACACTGAACGTATCAGAACACAGTACACTGAACTTATCAGAACACAGTACACTGAATGTATCAGAACACAGTACACTGAATGTATCAGAACACAGTACACTGAACCTATCAGAACACAGTACACTGAACCTATCAGAACACAGTACACTGAACCTATCAGAACACAGTACACTGAATGTATCAGAACACAGACTGAATGTATCAGAACACAGTACACTGAATGTATCAGAACACAGTACACTGAACCTATCAGAACACAGTACACTGAACCTATCAGAACACAGTACACTGAGTGTGTGTATCAGAACACAGTACACTGAATGTGTGTATCAGAACACAGTACACTGAATGTGTGTATCAGAACACAGTACGCTGAATGTATCAGAACACAGTACGCTGAGTGCATACAGCCCTTACAGACCGAAATTACTATTATTAGAAAATTTCATCGAGAAAGGAAACAAACACAATATCACATAAAGGTACTTTTAGATTCAAATAAATATCAAATCATGCATTTCTGTTCACCTCCATTTCATCTGAACCAAAAAAACAACGAAAAACTTTCAATTCCCCCTTTGTCTACAAAAAGTTTTCAAGAAAATGAAGCAAACAAGATACACAATCATAAAGCCATTAATTTTCTTCATGTGGAATTCAATATTTCTCCTCCACACAATAAAACAAACAACGTGAATACAGTTTCTTGAAAAACGTCACCAGTACATTGTTGGAATTCACAGACAAAATGAGAAAACAGTGGAGTTCACTTTAAATGAAATCTGCAGGACTGCCAGATTTTCTTCGGTTAGCCAAGTTTTTGTTTTAGAGAGATTGCTCAAACAGAAGGAAAATAAATCGATAAAAATTGTTCAAAGTGCAGAAAAATGTCGGTTTCCTCAGATTAATTATTCTGACGAGTGTCTGATTTCACCATGAAGCCACAAAAAAGGAGGAGCTCATGTCTCTTGCATCAGCGAGGTTTTTTTACCGCTTATAAAAACGTCTCAATCCTTTAAAAATTCGTAAACTCAGCCCCGCTGCATAATATGCAATTCTACTGGTATTTTATCAGAAGAAAAAAATTGTCCTTTGACCAAAGTGAAAGCGTTGACTTTGAGGAACAGGAAAAAAGCTGTTACGACTACCGACATATTCAAATTAAAGATTGTGGTAAGTTGACCCCGACCAGTTTAACCACGACTGTACGCCGTATGTCATACTACAGTGACTTATTGCAATACTAATATAAAATTTCAGTTAAAATTTCTTGATGGCACCCTCGACATATTATGCACACGGTAAACAGTTCATAAATGAGCTCAACAATAAAAAGATTGTAAACGTCAAGTAAAAACACCACCAAAAAAAAAAGAAACAAAAAAGGAGAACTGGTCAGTTTCAAATAAACAATGTGTTTGTGAAGCAAACTTTGGATGGTACAAACAACTTATTGTCTGATCAAAATAAAACAACCAGAAAAAAATTAATCTTATTATTATTATGTGCGATCATTGCATCCGAAACATAGAGGATATTTCATTTCCTAAGTCATCACACCTGGTGGCCTGCCCTCCATACCTGATTGCCTGCTTTAACGACAAGCTCACTGGTCACCTGTCACTGTCCTGTGGAGTGTCCACTTGCCCGCACAACATCTCCGCGGGAAGAGACCTCTCTTGCCAATCCATCTTCAGATTCAGTGTGCATGTTCAGTCAACTCAAAGAAGCTCTTACAATAGATAACAAATTTCGATGGAAATGACATGGTAAGATAAAATTAATATTCAATAAATCATTTTAGATTTTAAAACCATCTGATGACTTTGTCAAGTCCTGTTAGTAAGTGAACATAACTCAGAGCCTGTCCACAGCAGCCACCTCTCTGCAACGGTCACTTTTGTCTGTGATCTTGAGAGACTGTTATGGACAGGTCCAACTGTTTATCATTACTGAGACTCCACATTCGAAGTCTACTTCTACGCCTCTTCTACTTCTTCTTTCGTTAAATTAAGGTTTGTCAGAGGTGGGACACAGGAAGGTGCAAAGTTGTACCCTGAAGCCAGAATCTTCACATACAGTGGAGTCCGCTGAAACCGAGATTGATGGGACTGCCGGATATTCTTCTGTTTAGCCAGGCTTTTGGTTTGAAGAGGTTGATCATATATAAAAAATCTGGATTTTCTGGGGGGGGTTTTCCCCAGTTAACAGGTGTTTTCAGATTAACCGTGGCCAGTTTAAACAGGCTCCTCTGTAATTCAAGTACATCTTTTGCTCTCAACACAAACAAATAAACCATGTGCTGACATGACAGTGCTTTTGATCTTCCACCTGTCGTTGATAAATGGCAACAACATACAAGCAACCCAACCAAAAACAAAAAACAAAAAAGAAATTACAATTTGTTTCTAAATTCTACAGACAAGCAAATATCATCCTTAATTTCAGCACATACTCCAACATTCTGTACAAAACACTGAGGACACAATGTAGATGAAATATCCACCAGTTTTAAGACATAATTGCCCATCGGAATGCTATTTTAAATTTTGAATGAGGTGTGAACATAATTTTTCTCAGTGCATTGACCATGTTCACACTTTCAATAAAGTAGCTTGAGCTACATCCTCAAGGATATATGTTGTGATTATTATATTATCATCTCAATCATTATCATATCATAATAAAAATCCCTTTCTCATAAGTCAATAAAAAGAAAATGAACATAATGTCACTATAAACTGATTAGAACTCCTGGGTACGGTCATTGAGTAACTACAACTAATCCCACACAAGGCGATTATACAATCATAACAATACCTTAACTACATTATATAATATAGACATTTTATTTTTAACTTCAAATTACACAGGGTGCTATTTAAATCAAATTCACAAAGGGTATTGCACAAAACGTCTGAAGTTCGTCTTCTCCCGAAACACGAAGTAAAGTGTATTGTGAAAATTTGAGACATGCTTTGATGTAATCTTATCTCTCATTCTCTGAAGCCAAGTTGGCTTGTAGCAGGTATGGGCAGACTCCAGCCAGCAGACTACATGTAGATCCCGCCTGTGAGCTGTTTCAGTTTAACCCGTCAGTCAATCCAGACATTACACGAAATAATGAAAGTGGCCGGTAGAGAACTGATAATTATAATCAATGAAAACAGAATTGTCCGCCTCGAAAATTCGAATAAGTAGTTTCCAGCCCAGCTGGAAGCAATAGGTCTACTGTTTTATCTCAAGAAATACCCATGAGCGACATACACTATAGAGTCAGTTTTTGTCTCATTTTTGAGAGCTTGAACATTTCAACTAATTTCACCCAAAACACACTCGCTTTAGCCTGCAAGATTTTCAAATTCGCTTAATTCAGTCTGCAACCTGGATATGCTAGTCTAGGCCTGACTCAGAGCAAATATTATTACAATTCTGAAAGTTGGAAAAACTGTATGTTGTGAGAATGGATGAGTGGTGAGGATTTTCTTTCTCTATTTCCTCACCACATCCTCACCTTTTGATGATAATCCGATGAATGTACCCATGTCTTACATTTTATTATTGCAAAGCAAATTGAGCATTGTTCAGCATTGTGAAAAATGGAAAATATAACCACCACACACTTGTATTATTCTTTCAACATAATTTGTTCTTATCACTGATATGATCACTTGTAAAATAGGAATAAGGTTATCATCATCATAATCATCATCATCATTATGTTATCATAATAATTACTATGACCACTATCATTATGAAGTCATGAATATATGAGATGCCAATCAAGCAAAAACTTCCCAGACATGACCAATTCCATCTTTGAGAGTCTCTTAGAACAAATCTGTGGAATCCACAGAGACATTTTTCTGTCTCACAATCCCCTTCTTGTACCACCCACACATCAATTGCGTCATCCTCTCTCCACATTCACACACATTATGCGTGCCCACCAGCTCTTGTAACACATGTCTGATTTGTTGTATTTGTTTGGTAAACGTTTTACGGCACTCATAAATAAAAACAGTCATATGTGAGGCATGCTGACAAAATGATAGCCGAAAAATCAACACAGGGGTTGAATTTGAAGATCTTCAACTGATTCTATTCTTCCTAAGCTTAACATGTCTTTTATCAGTTCATACAAATAAATTGTACAAACTCAACCAAAATTTGAGGTATCTATTTTTAAAGTCCAAGAACTAAATAATTTTGTCAGCACACCTCACATATGAGTATGTATGGCTCAATTTGGTTGTATTCATGTTAGTTTACTCTCTCTCTCTCTCTCTCTCTCTCTCTCTCTCTCTCTCTCTCTCTCTCTCTCTCTCTCTCTCTCTCTCTCTCTCTCTCTCTCACGCACGCACGCACGCACGCACGCACGCACGCACGCCCGCAAGTACATACGCACACACACACACTAATAATCCTTCTCCCTCACTCTTCAATCCCTCCCCTGCAACCATCACATGCGCGTATTACTCCCGTTGCTACCGTTATGCAACAGTCCCCCCGAGCTGGCCTGCGGAATGAGAGACGTCTCCATCTCGATATTTTCCTCATCCGACTCCGAGGGTGCCGCCCGGACCTCCATCTGCCACTGGCTGGTCAGCAGGTCCACCTGGCTCTTGCCCTCTCTCACCTCCTGTGGATGAAAAAAAAAACATTTTGTGAAGGAGTTTATCTAATAATGCACAAGCCTGTTTACGCCTTCATCAACACAATGTTCAACATTTATCAGGGCTTCCGACCATGCCTGTCAAAGACAACCCGGAATGAGAGGGATAAAACATCTCGGCAGAAAGACCAATACACTTTATTAAAAATTCCTCATCACTTGGAAATCAACCTCGGGAGTCTTGTATGCGACAGCGATGCATCTAACCGCTACACCACAGATGCCGGTTTTGAAGAGGTGAAAAACAAACCCTGACGCTACAGAGCTTTACTTTGAAGGAATAATTACAAACGAAAACAAACAAACATCATCAACACAGAATAAAAAGAGATGCCAAGCCAAGGCTCACATATTCAACTCTTGGTTCCTCCTTACTGCATTAAATATGGTTGTTCACTTCAACAAACCCAGCACAAATGCCGCATGGCATCAAAGATGTTCCATCTTTTCAACTTTTTTTTTTACATGAATGTCCCATCTTTTTATAAGTTCGTTTTCAATGGATTTTCTATCTTTTTACCTTTTTTTCCTCCAACGAAAATTTGTTACAACAAATGTCATTTCTTTTTAATATTTTTTGATGTCCCAATTTTTATAAACATTTTTCAAATGATGTCTGATCTCCAGCAGAAGTTACCTGCTGTGTGAACCTCTTGGTGAAGAACGGGATGAGATAGCGAGCATCCAGCTTGAGGAAGCCCTTGAGATGCGGCCTCACAATGTGTGTCTCATCCTCCTCTGTAAGCTCAGATAAATGTTCCGAGTCAATGGCGTCGCCCTGCGAGAGTCGTACGTTTGGTTTTGGTAAGAGTTTTACAGTGCTTGCAACACAAATTGCTCATATTGAGTGCCAAAGATTAGAGGTGTTACTAGAGAGTAACATACAAAGAACAGCAGGAGGATAAATATCAATGATAAATTCTTGGTAGGATAAAAGCAGCAAACCACCTCCAAGCACCAATCAACCACCCACAGGAGTAGCATAAAATATTGTCTTATGCTTCCATCAATACAATTTTGATTATTTGTAAGGCGATCTGGAAAAATGATTTCCTTATTGCAATCTGTGAATGGAAATAGCAGAAACTTGACAGACGGGTCAAACTTGTAAATAGATTTTAAATCAATGCCATTTTCCTAAATTTTAACATGCCTTTTATCATTTCATAAAAATTCGAATGAATTTGACATATCAATTTCCTTAACACTAAAGTCTGAGATTTAACTCACACAGGAGGGTTGAACACAGTTAGGCCATTCCTCTCTGATGACAAATTCAGCTTCAAAAAGAAAAAGCTCCTCAGTTCTTACCTAAATGAACGAAAAAAGGAAGTACCGACCCCGACAGACACACTCACCATTTCCTTCGTTTTGCTCATAGACACTTGTCCCTCACTCTTTTTCCTTTTCTTGTACTTTTTGTCAGACGATTGAAGAAACTAAGAAAGGAAAACAACACTAAAACGATCAATAAGTTTTCCTTGTTGTGATAACATCATTAGTCATCAAGCGGTATGCAGACAGTAAAAGAACAAAACAAAGAAGGAAAAAAAAGGGGGGGGGGGGAAGATAAGGGTGATAGGTGTTTGACAGAAAAGAAGGAGCAAATGACACCAGAGCACCCGCCAACCATCGACTCTCCAAACCTTGAGCAAGAGCAAGGTGGTCATGAATATGCCCTTCACATAAGCTATTTATTGTTTATCTATTATTCTTATTCTAATGAGAGCTCTAAACTTTGAACAATGACATGGTAGATATAGATACACACAGAGCTGTTAAAGTACTTTTAAAAAAGTACTTAAGTACAAATTTAAGTACAATCTAAAAAATGTACTTAAGTACAGTAAAAGTACATTCCTATAAAATGTACTTGAGTACAAGTACTTTTTAAAAAAGTACTTATGAGTACATTTTGAGTACTTTCTGCTAATATGCTAAAACACTTCAGCGCTTATGCAAAACATCATATTTTATAACTTATCCAGTATATTTGACAAATTAGGCTATTTATTACTAAAAATGTAAACAGTATACAAAGCATTTGAATATACAATATACGCACTGAACAGTGGAAATGGTCCGTGAAGTTGAACAAAAAACAACCCAAACGAACAGACGCAACTAGTGGGTAAGTGATATTATGAATAGAACTTGTTTGAGCAAGACAATGAGATCAAATGTAAGTCAGTCCTAGGGGTCGGAAAGTTCTACAGAAAGAGTATCCAAATTGAAAAATGTCGATACAAAGTTGCTCTTAAGAAAACATAAAATTGATGAAAATGGCCCGCATAGAAATGGAAAAGTGCATTGAATTCTTCATTAACAAATCCTCAAGGAATCAATGTAGCCTTAAGCAAAAACCACCCAAAAAAAGTTTAAAAGAAATTTAGGCAGCCTAAAAATTGTTAGATACACATTGAGAACACAGTTTCAGCTTCAATTGATTATAGTGGTCTTTCAGATTTTGGTCACACTGTGTAGTCCACGGCGCCAACGGCAAACCAAAATACAATAGTTTCCTAGAGTCTAGTAAGTGTAGTGTAACCAAAGATTCTCTACTGCAGTAGTCTCCGCCTAAGATCCCAGTGCTCAGAAGCAAGGAAAATATGGGATCTTAGCCAACGAAGCCAAGGAAGAATCTACAGTGACCCATGAACTGACGTGACCCCTGGGTGGATTTATGTCATATGGCAAGCAAAGAGTGGTCAACTTTGATTACCAATCACAGTGGCATGAGGCATGCCATAAATAATATTATATATACACACTCATTAGCCTATCGTGAGTCTTGAGATCTTTATCTACGTTTATCCAGTTGCCCCTCCCCTTTACCTGTCCAACAATTTTAGCTTTCCATCTCTGATTGAGTCCCCCCCCAAAAAAAAACCCCAACAACCTCCTTTGTCATTACGCACCATTACGATGTGACCACACTAATTAAAATTCAGGTTGTCTCGCAAATTCGGGAAAAACTGCTTTCAATGGTCAGGGAAGAGTTCACAGTTTGATGTGATCCCGCCTGGAGCGAACTTGTAGGCCCTACCCACCCAGGGAGTGATGTAAGTTTAGGTGGCGAGCTCAGATGCGAGTGCGATGTTTGGGGAAAAGAAACGCATCGGTCAGTTCACACCTCGGTGTGATCCCGTCTGGAGCAAACACTGTACCGTTTCATGGAGTTTTACAACGCTTGTGATCACATTCACGATAGTGGCTGATCTTTGAGGCGACGGGCCGTTCTTTGATCTCAACTTTTAACTCTTGGCGGTTGATCGGGTTTTTGCTCCGTAAATTATGATCAGAAATGCCTGCACTTACCCTTTCATTAAGCTACCAAAGTACTCAAAATGTACTTAAAAAGTACTCAAAAGTACTTTTATAAAAAGTATCGGAGTACAGTAAAAGTACTGGTTTCAAAAATGTACCGGAGTACAGTAAAAGTACCGAAAATTGTAACGTAAGTACAAGTACCGGAGTACTTGTACTCCGTTACTACCAGCTCTGGATACACACTATACAAATACTGTTTATTATTCACCCATTGTTCTCATCCTAACAAGAGCTCCAAACCGTGAGAAGGGACATGGTAGGTATACACTATAAAAATGCTATAAATTATTTATCTATAATTTTCATCCTAACAAGAGCTCCAAACCATAAGCAAAGACAAGGTAGATATAGCTGCACATTAAACAAATGATATTTATTATTTATCTAAAATTCTCATCCTAACGAGAGCTCCAAACCTTTAAGTAGGGGCATGGTGGGAATAGATTTAAACAAAAATACAAATGCTGTCTATTTATGTAATTCTATTATTTTCATCCTAATGAGAGTTCCCAACCTTAAACAATGACATGGTGTATATAGATATCCATTATACAGACACTATTAATTATTTATCTATTGTTCTCATTCTAACGAGGGCTCCCAACCTTGAGCAAGGGCATGGTAGGTAACGATATACACTATACAAATGCTATTTATTATTTATTATCCTCATTCTAACGAGAGCCCTAAACCTTGAGAAAAGGCATGGTAGATATAGATCTAGACATACATCAACAAATACAATTGACCTTGTATTTATTATTCTCATCCTAGCAAGAGCTCCCAACCTTGAGTAGGGGCATGGTAGGTATGCATAAACTCTACACAAATGCTATTTATAATTCATCTATTAATCTCATGCTTACGAATGAGAGCTCCAAACCTTGAAGAATGGCACTGTAGAATACAGATATACATTATACAAATGCTATTTATTATTTATTATCATCATTCTAATGAGAGATCCAAACCTTGAACAATGGCATGATAGATATTGATATACAATATACAAATGCTATTTATTATTTATTATCGCCATCTTAACGAGAGCTCCCGACCTTGAGCAGGGGCATGGTGGAGCCTCCAAGGAAGACAATGGTGAAGAGCACCAGGATGAGGGTGGTGGTGACCAGGACGAAGTGCTTCTCCGCCTCGATCTCCAGATGTAAGCTCAGGGCAAATGCCACAGCACCACGGAGACCTGCACACGAGGGGGGGGGGAGAGAGAATAGTTTAGTTTTAGTAAGAGTTTTACAGCACTTAATGCAACACAAATAGGTCATATGAGTGCAGAAGGTTAGAGGTTGTTCTAGTTTTAAAAACAATTTTACAGCACTTGCAATATAAATAGGTCACACGAGAGCAAAGGACTAGAGTTTGTTTTTGTTTAAGCAAGATTTTTATAGCACTTAAGGCACTTGCAACTTGAATAGGTCCTGTAAGATGAGTTACTCGACAGCAATATACAAAAACAAAAGAAGAGATAAGGACGGCACTAGAGCACCTGCCAACTGCCCACAAGGTAAGGGAGTGGTGAAACAAAAAAATGTGACACTATGACAGAACAGTCAAAGTACATAAAGAACAGAAAAATAGCCAATATACATAACTAAAAACCCAACACCCTATTAACCTGAGGAGGTTTTGGGGGGGTGGGGGGGGGGTTGCACCATGCCACCACAGCGATGCGCACTGACAAAGAAAAATGAAAAAGAAAAATTTTCACCACAAGCCTTCGTATCAAAAACTTACCACTAAACCACATGATGAACTGATTCTTGCGGGTGATTTTGTGCTCTCGGAAAAAGTTCATCAGGAAAGACAAAGGGAAGATATTAAATGCTCTACCCAGCAGAATCAGAATCTGTGGAAGGAAGGGAAAAAAAAGAATGGAATTAACAGTCTCACAATAAGAGAGTGATGTATGCATATATAACTAGGCAGCAGTTGAAGTTAGCTTTAATTTTAGAAAGAGTCATATGAGTTCCACGCAGTTTAAGTTAGAATTTTGCATGGGAAAGCTCCGTGCTTTAATAAAACATTTGGATGCGGCACCTAATGCAACATAGTTAGGCTCTTGGATGGTCAACCGTAAGGTTGTGGGCTCAATTCCCATCAGGGACCCCATGTCGTGTCCTTGGGGAAGGCATTTTACATAAAATTTCCTCACTTCACTCAGGTGGGAATGGGTACCCAGCGTTATATACAGAGAAAGAGTTTCTGTTTGTTAATGTTTGAGCACTTCATTGGCTGCTTGCACTGCAGAGCAGTACCGAAAAGCCAAGATTGACTCCGGTTCGTGTTCTCGGGTCTACTAGGGTAATAATGGTCGAAAAAAGAATGCTGTGTAGTCGGATTTTAACCATTTAGTGTTAAGGATTGTACCTTATAGGAAATCAATGTTGAACACAGGGGTCTTTGAATTCTTTAGACATCTCAAGTAGTTTTTGAGATATTGAACTTCTTGCTGGGTAGGGTGTAAAAATATAATTTTGAGAAAATGAGCTTTTAAGTTTAACAAACGTGAGAACACATACCGATTTTTTTTTTACGACTTTTTAAATGTATTTATTGATGGAAAATTCATTTCCAATTTGGCATTCAGTTGACATCAATATCATGAATGGAATTCAATGGTAAAACATAGCAGGAAAGAGAAATCGTGCTTCAAGAATAGATTTTAGCACCTTTTAAAAGTAGTTTTCATTATTTGTTTTTATTATACCCTACCCTCAAAATAATTCTAAATAAAATATTTAGAAGTCAAATCAATGAAAACCCTTTGAGCACAGTGCAATAAAAGTGGTTTATCTCTCACTTTTTTATGGAAACACATTTTGGTCAAAATATTTATTTTTGTCATTATCAGCCTGTAGCTCGATACGGAATGGGGTGACTTTTGGTACCTTTCTCTAAGCGCACACACATCTATTCAGTGCTTGCTGTGTTGAACTCACACATTTACCAGTGGAGCACCATGACTACACACTTTGTCTTCACTTCGTAAGCTTTTCGTTAAGGTTAGTTTAAGAGCTTTACAGCATTTAAAACACAATCAGGTCATATAAGTGCCAAAGATTTGAGGTGTTACTGGATAGTAACATACTATTTAAAAAAAGGAGGAGGAGAGATAAAAACAACAGACGGTGGATAGGGAAGAAGGAGCAAACCACACCAGAGCACCCGTCAACCACTAGCCTTCGTTAGCCAAGCAAAAAGAATTTACAAACACAGAAAAATTTCCTACTCACAATGCTCCAGATGGTGAAGGCAGGTTTCACGTTCACTTTGAAGCTAAATATTGCAAGTCCTAGATAGGCAAACACACAGGTTTCTGAAATACAGACATATGGACAGATGCTTCAGCATATACAGTAAAATCCTGATTACACCAATTTATATATAATATGTATACATTGAAACCCCGATAACACCAACTTATATAAACATACACAGTAAAACCCTGATTACTCCAACTTATATGTATACAAACAGTAAAACCCAGAGTCTCCAGAACCCAGTAGCTTAGATTATGTTACAAACTGAAAGTCGCAAAATGAAAAACGCAAACGTTTATAAAAATGCATATTTTCATGTCATTTATGATAGTCTAGCAAATGAACCAGTGTACTTCGATGTCATTTACCATAAGTTGCGCAGTACAGATGTCATCAAAAGTCAAGAAAAAAATCAGATTTTATGCTAATCCGATCCAGGTTCTTCAGCGGGCATTCAAAAAACAAAACGGAGGGCTCCAATTTTGCTGGAGTGCTCAGCTGGTCTTTAACGGCTACCTCTCCAAAACAATCACCTAAACAAACGACCGCTTGCCACTTCCCACCATTTTTTTTTTCTTCCCTTATTATTGTAATGACACCATCCAAGACGACCACCTGTCTCAGGCAACCGCTTTTCTCCTTGACAAATGGGTGGCCGTCTCAGACAACCCCATCTGTACCTGCGATGAAAGCGATGGTGCGAAACGTCTGCTGCACGGTGATCTGCGACACGGGGGACAGGTTGAGATGGGTGTAGTGAGACATGACGATACCACAGAACAGGATGGCCATGATACCTGTGGGAATTGAGGGGGGGTATCTTTGTAAACATGATACCATCACAAAGTGAAATACCTTGGGAAAAAAAGAAAATGGTGTATGTCTAACACCCCTTTTAACACTGTCAGGTTATTTAAGAGGCAGGACCTCCTAGTCTAACATCCATATCTAAAAAGACCGAGCCAAGAGGGAAATTCATGTAAAGTGCCTTTCCCAAGGACACAGCATCAGACCGAGCTGAGGCTAGAACTTTTAAACCTGAAATCTCAACAAAAAACAATATAATAAGTTGTAAAGCACAAAAAAAACTATGTTCAAGAAGGATCATTAACTGACCAAAACAGAAATGAAATAAAAACTGGAGCTGGCCAAAAAGAGAATAAATGAGTAGATAAACTTTACTGATCTATGAGGGAAATTTAAGGAGGATATACCAAAACATCAACATACAAAGATTCTGCATAAGCACAGACATGTACTCAGCACATCAATGGTCAATAATACACATACATCGATGCACAACTCACTCACAAAAGTGTACACAAATAGTGTTTCACGTCCCCCCCCCCCTCCCTCTTTCTCTCTTTCTCCCACCCCCTCACACACAGACAAACACACACACACACACACATACACACAAATACTCACTCACTGTATTCTCCCTATCTCTTCTATACACACATTAAGTTTATCCCCAGACCATTAGACCATAATCACATACAACAAAAATCATGCTATATCCTACTGGTCTTAAACATTGTTTCCGAAGCGCAAAAGCCACCTCACCTGACAAATGAATTCCTTCAGCGAGGGCATACGGCAGGTAGGAGAAACAGAAGACGATGCCCACCTCCAGGGAGGGAGTTTTGTGGAGATCGATGAACTTTGTCAGCTACGGAGAGAGAGCAGCATAAACATACATGTCACATGAATGGGGCAAAAGAACACCAGTAGGGCTTTTCAGTCCATCCTGCCCTATCAGCCACTTTTATAAAGCAATCATCTGTACAAATGGCCTTTAAAATAACATAATAATAATAAATGCATTTATAACGCGCTAGAATCCACAAAAAGTGCTCGGTGGCGCTTACAAAACACACACACACATGCACACCCACAAAAGCTCTAAAGCTCAGTACCACTATGAAATGCATAAATTTTATTTAAAAAACAAAAAAATTGAGAGATATTTCAGATATAGAGTTCCAGCATCATAAATATACTTTCCTGAAAGCATTGTTTTCAACTTTGATTTAAACTGATCAATTGAAAGAGACATTTTAACATCTAGATTTTAAATCCAAATTGTTCCAAGGTTTTTGGGCACACATGGAAAAGGCCCTGTCACCCAACATTGTTCTGGACCTAGACATGAAGAGCTGATGGTCATTTGAAGGCCGAGCCAAAGAACATGAGACAAACACACACACATACACAAGCAGGCACACACACACGCGCGCGCGCACACACACACACACCTGTCCAAAAAAAGAACCTTTCTTACCATGGCACTGACCAGACCAAAAGCCACGCCAATGGCGGCCGAGGCAAAGAACATGAGACAGAAGCGACTCAAGGCCTGGAAGAAGGCGGCTGTCCCGCTGGTGACCACAGCCGTGGGCGAGGCAAATTCAAGCATGGTGCTGTGGGAAGATGCAGGTGGCTTACTTTTTCTATTTTTAAGGGGGAGGAGCTACACCTGAAGGCTATCTCGCTTATTAGAGGACAAAATTTTACCACATTTCACACAAATAACAAGCACAGAAAGGAGTCTAAAGACCCGCAATCAAATTAGAGAAAAAAGTTTTGTTTCCATGGATACGGCGGCCATATTTGATTTTTTTTTACGTGTCTTACGTAATGAATACCGCACTTATTTTTCATGGAAATTGATTGGGTTTTTTGCATGCACATTAGCAAACATTAGAACAAAAAATTTGCCTGTTGAATGTTTCCTAAACAAATTAGAATTTTTTTTTTTCCTGAGGTAGTATTCAAGTTTGCAAAAATTCAGTGAAAATCCACACTCAAGACACCACCAACAAAAATCTATTCCATATATCAAAAATTCAATAATCAATTTTTTCAGTATTACACCTTCTCTTCATTCTGTGAAAAGTTTGGATAAAAAATGGTGGAGTTATAAAAAAAAGTATAGAGAAAAATCTCGTTTTAAGAAAAAGGCTGATAAAGAAAAATAAAATATTCCTTTTATAAGGAGATAGTAGTGAAAAACATGCCCGGTATGGGAAAAAATAAGGCTTTTGGGGGTTCTTATGCGATGAAATAGTTGTAGGAGAGGCTGAGGAAGCTAAAAAAGCTTAAAACTAAAATTCCATAATTTTGAGCCTAATCGAAACTTTGTCCCCCCCCCCCCCGAAATTACAAAACAGGACTGAAATTAAACAATAATCATCATCCAAAGCCAGATCTGCGGCTACATTTCCCTGATCTTTCCTTGTTACCCATTTGTCTAGGTTCCCTAAGTAGGTTGCTCTGGGCCTACCCCTGCCTCATTTGTCTTAAATTTTGCCAGTGGGAGCTAGATGTTCAAGACCTTTATGTCTATTCAGGTATCCCAAAAACTGCATAATTTGTCGTTTCCTGATTGTTTTTAACAGTGAGCGTCCCACGTGAGCTTCGTCAAGCACTACCTCATTTGATTTCTTTTCCTTCCACAATATTCTCAGCAGTCTCCTAAGAAACCACATGTTCTATTTTAATTAGATTATACTACACTTTATTACTCCTCAAGGGGACAGTTGGGTTACAATGGCAAACATACATACACAAATACATATCTAGACACACAATTAATATACATACAAACGATACCAAATACAAAATATAATATAAATGCAGACAATTTTACAAACAATCAATTGCTGATCCCCACTGTGCAGCACTGTGTCTTTTGAGAAAAGGTTATGATGTTCTGCTCACAGATACACCCCTGTAACCACCCATCTGAACCCTGTCACCGACAATTGCCTGACATTAATGAAACAATAATAAAAATAAAGACATTTATAAGCACTCAACCCCGATTAAAGTACACAGGCTCTGAGTGCTTTACAATACATAACAACAGTAACATAAAACGTTTTGTTTTGACCCAAAGAGATTATTCATTTTATTAATTCAAAAATAGAAATGATTTCAGCTGGCATTTGAGTGAATCAAAGGATTCCATCTCTCTTAAAACTACTTGGCAAAGTATTCCAGATCTTGGGGCCTTGATATTCAAATGCCTTTTCACCCATTGTTTTAAGTTTCATAGATGGTAACAGAAATTTACAGACATGTTATTACAGACACAATCAGTATTGGTTGTTGAGCCTCAGAAGTCTGGGTCCCCAAAATTACCTATGCCGGAAGGAGGTCAGTGCTAAAAATAGACAGATAATCTAAAAGGAAAAATCTGAGCAACTCACGTGGTGAGCACAATGGAGACAGCGTCGTTGAGCATGGACTCTCCAAACACCAACATGTACAGAATGGGGTCAACGTCCAGGGCTTGGAAGATGGCCAGGGTAGCCACAGGGTCAACAGCTGAGATGAGGGATCCGAACGCAAAACTCTCCACCAGGTCCAGCTTGTACGCTACTTCTGCCTGAAAGAGAGAGAGAGAGAGAAAAGAGCCAAGGTAACGGCAAACACTAATACAGTGTAGGTATTGGTTTTAGGTGTAGTACGAGTTTTACGGCACTTGCAACACAAATGGGTCACATAATTAACGCAAATTAGAGATAGTACAAGGGAGTCACAAATAAATACATGAAGAAAAAAGAGAAATAATGACAATGAATGTCTGACAGGAAAGCAGGAGCAAACCACATAAGTGGTTGTCTTAGACAGCTGGACTTCTCAAACAGTGTCATTTTTTACGACAAAACCCACAGGGTGAAAAAAGAATGATGTTATTTGTACAGGTGTGATAGTACTCCTAATCTTAATTGAGGACCCTGCGATCAACCTCAACAACATTTTTTTTTAATAAACAAAAAAGAGTTGACCTATTTCCAACAGTTCCACTGTTAGAGCATATCACCATGGCAACCCACCTGTCCCAGGAGGTAGACTCCGCCCCCAACAATGACGGCCGAGATGACGGTGCCGAAGACGGCAAACACCAGGATGGAGCCAATGTTGTGGAAGAAGTTGCCCTGTTGGGGGAGGGGAGAGAGAGGGGGCAAAACAACTCACTTCTGCATCTTAGAACATTATCATACCATAAGAGGAGGGGGGGGGGAATCAGAGACAGTGACAGAGAGAAAGAGAAAGAAAGAAAAAGAGAGGAGACAAAGAGGGAGGAAAGAGAGATGGGAAGAGGGAAATTGGTAAAGGGAGAGATAGAGGAAAAGGGAAAGGGAGAGGTAAAGACAGAGAGAGGGGGGGGGGTGAGAGAGAGAGAGAGAGAGAGAGAGAGAGAGAGAGAGAGAGAGAGAGAGAGAGAGAGAGAGAGAGAGAGAGAGAGAGAGAGAGAGAGAGAGAGAAAGGGGGTGTGAAAGGATTGGGGGGGGGGGGCACAAAAAGAAAGCTATGACCTGACTGTGGTGACAAACCTTATGCAGATTGTATCCTCCCTCAAAGATGATGGGCGGCAACAGCACAATGAAGAACACGGTGGGTGGGAAGGCCTCCTCATTCTACATGCGGTTGTAGCCAAAGTGGGGAGATGGTGGCGGTGGTGTTGATGGTGATGGTGGTGGTGGTGGTGTTGGTGGTGGAGGTGGCGGTTATGGGGAGGGGGGAACAAAACAAACATTTTAGTTTTTGACTCTCATAAGAGTTTTTACAGCACTTTTTAAAAAAAGACAAATAGGGGTGCACAAACTTTAATGATAGGCTAAAACGGACAAATCTAACGAAACATCAATAACAAACTGTATTTGCAGCAAAAAAAATTAGATCCTTAGTATAAAAAAATATCACACTGGAAACAAGATGGAAACAGAGAGCATGGAAATTTCTCTTGAGCTAAAGCATTCATCTTTCATTCTGATTTTTTAAATTTTGAAATTCTCTACCGCATTCATATTTTCTCCCAACACATTTCTTATCTTTCCAGGCTCCGAGCTGAACAAAGGTTCTTAATTCATCTCCTGCCACCTCTCTTTAATGAAAGTGAAGCCACCAAACAGAAATAAATAACAACACCAAACTTTGGAGGAATGAAGCATCAATGATGAACAAAATTCTTCATATTTTTCCTATTCCTTCTTCTTTAGTTTTAGTTTTAATAAGAGTTTTACAGCACTTGCAACACATTTAGGTAATACAAATTAAGTGCCAAAGATTACAGGTGTAACTAGAGAGTAACATACAAAGAAAAGAAGGGGGAGAAAAGAGGATGACAGATGTTTTAATAAGAAAGAAGGACCAATTTCCTGCCACAGACCACAAAATGGTTAGAATCACATATCAATCTCCACAGTTCCAGGCACTTACTTTCCAATTTCCAAACTTGGAAAGCTTCAGAATTAATCCAATGAGAGCACCTGAAAAAAATTATAAGTCATTTGAGTTCTTTGTTGGTATTTCTAACTCATGTAAAACAATCCAGTTCTAAAACAAACCATAATACCTTAACAAAATATCAGTACCAACATACTGTGCCTTCATTTTCTGCAAATAGTTGGAATCTTATCCAAAAATCAAAATAATATGGCAAGCTGATATTGTCTCAAGAATACGAAAATAATAAACCTCTGTTATTCATAGATCGTAAAAAATCAATAAAATGGCTTGCTACTACTACTGCTTCTACTGCTACTACAACTACTGCTGCCAATAACAAATTGCCTGCCTGTCCTTAATGATCTCAGTTGTGTTTAAAGAGGATTTTTAAAAAATTAACAATCATTTTACAATCACAGCCAAAGACTGTTCCACTCACCAATGAGAACAATGGCGATGCTGTCGGGGAGATAGTGGAACTTGGTCTGGATCAGAAGATGGACCACCAGAATGGATATCGCTGAAACGTTCCAGAAATACAGAGTCAAAACAAACACTAAATACAGTCGACATTGTGTAAGACAGCCCAGGCCCCCACTTTATTGAGGTGAAAAGATGCCACCTTCCACAAGTGGTGGCCACAATAAATAGCAGCCAATGATGAAATTCCCCTCCCACTTCCCGCTACCCCCTACCTCCAATCCTACAGAAATGGCAGTAGGGGGGGGGGGGAGATTAATAAATCCACAAAACAACACCCCCCCCCCCACACACACACACACACACACCCCCAAAAAAAAGAAGAAATATTATTTACAATAACACAAATCACTTCAAAAGCACCCACTCCCTGCTTTAAAATGAAATGGATTTTTTTTTAAAAACAATTACAATTATTATAAAATTTGACAGCTGACACAATGACACATTTCAGGCAAACCAGCCCATTCAACGTACAAAAATCATTTAAAATACACACATACACTCATAATTAATCTGACAAAGAACACATACACAATATACACCCAAAAAAAAACAACAATCACTGCTGCTACTGATCATGCCTATTGTTTAACGAAGAATTAAAACAATAAAAAACCAAAAATCACTACTAAACAAAGAGAACAATCCCTGTAAGTCACATCACAACAATGCAAGCGTAAAGCAATTCAAACTCACAAAACCTACAAAAGCAAACACAAAACAAAAAAAGAACACCCCTCTAAAATAAAAATCTGCACCCCCTTCGCATCTTTTTTCTCCCCCTCACTGCCTATCCCCCCCCCCCCCCCCCCCCCCCCTCAAAATTAAAAAGTGCAACCAAAAAAAAAACCTCACGGTAGTTATCAAAAAGCGAAACAAAACAAAAAGTAAATCTCACCGCTCATAGTCTAATAGTATTTTAATAGCCTAGACCGTCCACTCTGGCCTAATTCCAGTTGACCATAAAGCACACCATTTCACTCTGTTTGGAACGAAATGAAGGGCAAGGGAAAAGGGTGCGGGCCAACTTTTCTACCTTATAGAATTATAACGTTTTATCTCAAATTTTGGGCCATTTTGAGTCAGTATCATGAGGTCAGAAACCAAATGTTCTATCTGCTCTATCAAAATCGTAAGATTATTCAGAGTCGTTATCAAGATATTCAAAGAATTGCGTTCGAAAAAACTTGACAAGTTGTGAAACTCAACATCTTTAGCGTCAAATTTCTCAAAACTTGGTACTGCGGAGATAGAACTTTGTAATTCTGAGGTAGTGAGTTGACTTTAGCGAAACTTGTGTTTTGCCCTTCATTTGTGCATCCATGGTGCGCATCAACCCAGCCAAGTTTTTCTACAGATCAAAGAACGGCAGCCATGACAGTGCCCCGTCTAGGATATACATGTAATTAATATTTAAAGTCTAGTGATAGGCGGTGCCCATTGGAGGATCGGTTCCGTTCAGTTTTTTGGCGGCTTCGGTGCATACTACAAACAGACCCCTGCCTCGAACCAATCGCCCGACTCTTGGCCTTGATAACAAACACTTTCGTTCTTGAAGGTCATCATCGGATCCCTTCGGTTTGTGCAACGACGGTAGCTTTTCTCCCTCCGTGGAGGAAGGAAAATCTGGCTAGCTCCAACAACCAAACCAAATCGAACCAAACCGAACCGAACCGAACCGAACCTTGCCAATGGGCACCGGGTATACTGCAAACGTCAAGATGGCAGACTCACCGACAACGAGCAGAATAAAGAAGATGGTGAGACTGCTGTGATGCTCCTCCTCTGCCGCGCCCTTAGCGGGGAGACCTCCCTCCTTCTCCTCCTCGGGCTCCTCTGTCGGAGGCACCTTCTTCTGCTCCTCCTCCCCCGCCCCTCCTCCTGTCTCGCTCCGCGTGGCGTTCACGTCGGCCGTGGCGTTTCCGCTGAGGTAGAGGGAGAGGGCAGACAAGATGAGAGTAAGCGACAGAACAACGCTCACGGGCGACTCGCGCCACTGGCTCACGGCCGCACGCGCGGACCTCCGGAACCACATGCGCACCCCGCGGACATGTCTGGGGCTGACCAGTCCTTGCAAGTTTGACAGCAGCATTTCTTTATAAAGTTTGTTCGTTCATTCCTCGCTGCATTTCTTTATACAGTTTGTTCGTAACTTCCTAGCATCATTTCTGTATTCAGTCTATTCATAAATTCCCAGGATACTTTCTTTATTAACTCTATTCATCAATTCCCGGCATCATTTCTTTATTCAGTTTATGTCGTTAATTCCTAGCAGCATTTCTTTATACAGTTCGTTCCTTCAATCCAAGCCGCATTTCTTTATACAGTCTAATTGCAACTTCCTAGCATGATTTCTTTATTTAGTTTAGTCTATTCGTAACTTCCCACCGCCATTTCTTTATCCAGTCGGTACGTAACTCCCTAGCATGATCTCTTTGCACATTTCTTTCGTCAATTCCCAACATCATTTCTTTACACAATACCTACGTCAATTCCCGGCACCATTTCTATTCTACACAGTTCGTTCGTCAATTCCGAGCATCATTTCTTTGTTCAGCTTGTTCGCCAATTCCCAACATAATTTATCTAGCATGATTTCTTCATATCATACAGTTCTTTCGACATTTGCCAGCATGACTTCTTTACACACTTCGTTCGTGGTTTTCAAGCATGAGTCCATAGTATGGTTGTCGTCGTTCAACATTGTTTGTTTAAATAAAGAGAAGCACATCGACACAACGATGGTCATTTAGTGCTGGGAAAAAAATAAGACAGACAGATAGAAACAATATAGAAGGAAAATAAAGAAGTAGGGCCTAACAGTGGCGCCCTGCAACCATCCACACAGACAGAAACAACAGAAGGAAAGTAACAAGTAGGAGCTGTTGTCTTTGGTGTTTAGGTGTTTTACGGCGCCTGCAACTGCAAAAGGTCATATTATGCGCGGGACACATTAAACATTTATTATTTGTTTGGTAGGAATTAATTTCGAATTTTGCCCGGGTAGCGGCTGAAGCCTTCTCTTATCGATTTGGGGTCACCAAGGGATCTTTAACATGCGCAACCTGCAGACGGGACCTCGGAGATTTTTCGCCCTTATCCGAGAATGCTATGTGTTAGATCTTACCTACCCTAAGATCAGGGATGTGGCTGACAGACAGCAGTAAGAAGGAACCATGAAGTAGCAGTAGGAAAGCAGCAGGAAGAGTCAGGACCCCAGAGGAGGGGGCAAGGGGGGGGGGTAAAAATGGTTAGAATGCAGGAAAGGAAGTGAAAGGAGAAACATTTAGAGAAGAAAATGTTCCGTTGCTGTCAGGTTTCGAACTCGAGGCCTATAGAATGAGAAGCCAACACCGTAATCTCTGGACCTCGAGAGCCTCCTCCGAAGTAGGAGCTACCAGTGACGCCCTCCAACCACCCACATGAGTTGATAAAAACAGCAGGCATGATAAGGCGTTGGGACAGCTGTTGGACCAGGCACACGCCCAAGAAACAAACCGTTACAGAAATAAGAAAAGAGGACACACAAATATTGAATAGCCATGAGCATACACCACAGATCGATACAGATCTATCGTGTTTGGGGTAATCAAGCCCACACCAGGTGGTATGAATGGGGACGAGGTCTCCTTGAAGTTGGCTTTGTCAAGAGAAGCACCCTTTCACGATAACTGTCGTGTAGTGATAAGAAAAAGTAAATGATAAGAAAAAGTAAACAAACAGAAATGTTTGCGTAAAGAGAAGCACACCGACACAATAATAGTCATTCAGTGCAAACGGGGAGAGGGGGTGTAAAACGACAGACAGAAATGTTGGTTTATTTTATTAAAAAGAAGCACGTCAACATAGAAACGGTCATTTTGTGCAGTTACGTTTCACCTATACCCTGCCACTTCTGTTTTTACAGTTTATATTCAGCCGTTTTCGTGTAACATACATGCTGACGAATACCGAATACGTTTTAAATTAACCATGCCAGTTACGATTTCCATAATATACCCTACGGTTTGTGTTTTTACATATATTCCCAACTACTTATGTTTTTACATCTACCCTGCCAGTAGCGGGGGGGGGCGGTTGTTTGGGGATTTTGGGGGCGGGGAGGGGGGTACATACCCTGCCAAATAAATGCAGAAAGCCCGAAAAACATGTACATGTACTCGATTTTTAAAAAATTATCCCTACTCGATAATTGAACTCTGGTCTCCTGCGGGCAGTAGCGAAACGCCTAACACCAGCAGCACCACTGAGGCCGATACACAGTGAGATATATGCCGTACAGAAATCCAAACCAAAAAACAGAAATCGCTATGTGGTCGCCAACAAGAAAAGCACCAACATCCATCACCAGAAAACTTGGTCACATCAAAAACCTGCCTGCTCCTCGCGATAAAATGTGCAGGGTGAGCAAAAAAGAGAACAACACTCGCTCTGTCCTTGCGTCATACGGCACGGTAACTTAACACTTTAAGTCTAAGCACACAGCCGACACATAATATAGATCTATGTCCGATCAGCAGCAGGTCAAAGGCAATGTCGAGGCACATTTCCAAAAACCAAACACAGAGATCATAAACATGAATTTGTATACATGTCACTTTCGTTTAGCAAGAGTTTTTACGGCGCTCGCGACTGCATACGTTCTTATGATCGCTTGTATATTTTACAGTAATGCGTTGTTGTTATCCGTCTTTTTAAGTTTCAGGTTTTAAAAAAAAAGTGTAATTAAAGGAATAACGAAGGCATGTACCCCAAAACAGCTCGTCTTCAGTCAATCGTTGTCGACGAATAACTAGAGGAATGCACGCCCTCACCGAGTCAAACAGCTGAAACCCTTCTCGTGTCATCAAGTGGCGGCAGGATCAAACGGCGATCATAATGTACATAATAATGTATGTGGGGGGGGGGAGCAATGCGTGCTGTGACATTACAGCAGTTATACTACAGTACTCAACCATGTTTGAGGAGACTTCAGTATGGATTAAGTATACTACTATGCAATCATGTTTGGAAGAACTTGTGCACGATACCTTAGTGTAAGTGCCGAAGATTAATGAAAAGGGTAAAAAATGGGGTAGAGTTACATTTAAACTGTGTTATCATTTTTCTGCTTTCCGTGCTGTTTTCATGGGGGTTTACATAAAACGGAATAACAAAAACAAGAAAACTACCAATATCCGTCTCCAGAAAACTTCTTTACATCAAAAACCAGCCTGCTCCTCGCGGTGCGGGATGAGCACATACAGACCAACACTCGCTCTGTCCTCGCGTCATACTGCACTGTAACTGAACACTTTAACCCTATCCGTAAGTCCTGGGGTCATTTTGTACCCCCGGGGTTGTATTCTTAACATTTTAGAATACTTCTAGTGCGAAGATCTCTTTGAAACTTTCAGTACTTCTCAAAATAAAGCATTTCGACAGACTGCTATGCAAAGCGTACGGAACGGATTAACGAGTAAATTTCCTCTTTGCAAAGTGGTGGCACAGAGTTCCCACGTCGTATGGATACGATAGTAAAACACGACGTACGGATAGGGTTAAATCTAAGAACACAGCCGACACTCAATATATTATGTCCGATCAGCAGCAGGTCAAAGGCAATGCGGAGGCACATTTCGAACCACCAAACACAGACCAGAAGCACGAATTTGTATATTTTAGTTTCGTTTAGAGACAGTTTTTACGGCGCTCGCAACTGCATCAGTTCTTATGATCACTTCTATATTATAATATTTCACAGTACTCTTGTTATTATCCGTCTTTTTAAGTTTCAGGTTTTAAAAAATTTTAAGTTGAAAAATGTATTTGAATAACGAAGCTATATAGATCTACCAATACCCCCAAAACAGCTCGTCTTTAGTCAATCGTTGTCGACGAATAACTAGAGGAGTGCACGCTCTCACCGGGTCAAACAGCTGAAATCCTTCTCGTGTCACCAAGTGGCGGCAGGATCAGACGGCGATCATAATGTACATAATAATGTATTGTGTCAGTGTGTGTGTGTCGGGGGGGGGGGAGCAATGCGTGCTGTGACATTACATCAGTTACACTACAGTACTCAACCATGTTTGAGGAGACTTGAGTATGGATTAAGTATACTACTACGCAATCATGTTTGGAAGAACCTGAACACGATACCTAAGTCGCCGAGATATTCGATTTTTTAAAATTTTCCCCATCAAAGAGTCTACATAACAAGAGGGTCCACTCCTCTCTTGGAGCCAATTAAAAAAGTGTCCTCAAAATTCGGTGGCGCCCTCTTCGCAAATGCGCACCCTTTGCGAACAGTTACCCTACTTGTTTTGAAAAAAGTTAAATAGAAACTAACAAGTTTTTGAATAAAAAAGAATTAAAATTTCGGAAGAACACTTTTAAAAAATGGTTACGCTGACAAAAAAAAACCTCTTCCGGAGGAAGCGGTGACCGTTTTCTTTGTTTAATTTGACTTTAGAATGAAAGGCGAGAGGTCATCGAAATAGAAAAAAACTTTAACTCCGCACTGACCGAACCCGAACTGCTGATGAACAGCAGTCGATCTGCGCACGCCAGGAGGTGCTATTCCTATTCTTCTTCTGGAGAAACGAAAGAGAGTTTCAAAACAGACTGCAGCGCCATCTGAAGCAAAGAGCGGACTTCCGGCGGACACTCTTTTTGGCTGAGTGGACCATCTTGTTATGTACTATCTTTGTTTCCATTCGAGAATCGAACTCGGATCTCCTGTGTGCAACGTCAAAGCATCTAAGATCACGCAGTGGCAGACATGTGCATCCAAAAACAAAGAAAGAAAAGATATAAAAGAAGTTTTTTTTACCATCTAGAAAAATGCTTTTGTCAGAATGAGCATAGATGTGTGTTGCTCTTAGAGTATTATCTATATATATAACTCCAAATGTTTTGTATTTAAATTCCTGCATGTGGTTGA